TAAAAATATAATAAAGAACATTTAACATTTCTCATAAATTTTGTTAAATATATAGAAGCAAAGTAAAATAACTGCCATGCCTGAAAATTGCCTCAAATACTTAATCAGTTAGTTCCCCTAAAAGGCTGCTTGTGACTCTCTATACAGTCGGTCCAAATATTGTAAGTGGGAAATCTAGATGTTACAGATTCAGACCCAGACCAAATCCAGTATATCTCAATTATGCCTGAGTATCCAACAATGCTCATTTTCCTTTTGCATTAATTGTCATCTGGTAGTTGGTGACCCTAGATGCATGTCATGCCCATGGAACAGAGCAGTCCTGCACCAGTCCCTAGAAGAGAGGAAGAAGTACATGAATTAAATTGCCAGATTTCACACTGCATACTTTCCTTCCCTTTATCTTTCTTAACACTTACAATAAATCTGTGAGAAATAAATATTGCTCTGCCTGTCTATAAAATAGAAGGTTCAGCAACTTTAGCTTTAATGTTTATCAACACTAGGATTAAAATCACTGTCCATCTTCCCAAATTACGCTGTTTCTATTATGGTCCCATTACCCAAGAAATATTCTTTGTCATTGATTATGAATTACATTTTAAATCGATGACCGTGTAATATATTTATCTAAGTTTAGTGTTAGGTATATCAATTAACTCATTATTATTGACATATCCATTAGATTCCAAATCTTATTTCCAAGCCCAACCCTAAGAAACACAAGTGCAAACAGAAATATTTGAAACAAACAGTCTTAGTTATGTAGTCATTAATAATCACAAAGATTAACTGGAGTATTCAGATCGTGGTGCTAAAGAAGTTGCCATAGGAGTGATTGGTGACACAGTGGTGTCTCTCCAGTTACAGATGCATGCTGCTTCTTAGACAAATCGTGTCTTCTCTACAAGGTGAGCTCAAAGTGGTGTTAGCAGCAGCAGCATTTACCCCTTGCAGGCAACATTGGACCTGTTTCACACACAGTGTCATAGTACCACCAAAAACAGCAGAAAGCAGTGTTAGCACTTCTATGAGAGAGAACCTGCTCAGCACACTTTCATGTGTGCAGTGTGATCAGCTTCCAAAGCAGGATGATGGGAAGGAAAGTAGTGGGCATATCCGTTATTTAATCTACTTGGCAGATGAGAGACAACCTATCCAGCATGAGAACTGTTATTTTTTGATAAATAATTACTAGAAGTGTATCCAGCGTTTGACTTAACTACTAAGGCTAGCAAAATTAATTTGAATAGTTTATGCATTGCTTATAGTTATTTGAAATAATAAGATTCTTAACATTATCTTAATTCCTATAATTTAAAGCTTACGTGCTATTTATATATGATCTATCAAGGAGGCCGTTTATGCAAAATAAAGACAGATGGTACTAAAAGAAATGCTGTGGCCTTAATTCATCCTTCCGTTTCCTCACTCTTTTAAATTTCAAAAGGGATGACATGCTTTCTCATGACATTACACATCTCAAATGGCAGTAATTCATTTGGACTTACATTCAAAATTTGTTAAAGAGTTTCATAGTATGCATGGAATACATAGAAGGGGAGAGCCTCATCTCTTTCCCACAGAGCCAATGTGAGTATTCTGAAACAGCAGACAACTCATGGAAATGGAGAAAAGTGCTAACTTGGTAATGCAAACACTCCAGTATTTGCTAGTAATTTATACAATCCCACATGAGTTTAGTCTCCGATACTCCTGAGTACAGGAAACTCCACTCCTAAAATAAATTTCTCACATCATGTCAATAAGCTCTACTTTTTGGATAAAGATTCTGTGTCCTCGATATCTACCATCTGTGGCATGTGAACCTCAGCTTTTAGGACTTACAAGGTCATAGGCTCTCAGGGCTACTTCTGTTAGGATCAGATCAGACCTCAGAGTCCTGCTGTGGTTGAAATGTCACTAAATCTCCTCCCAGCTGCAAATAGATCTGAAAGCTCCCTGGGCAGGGGACTAGCATGGAGTCTGGTTGCTTGTCAGTTGGCATCCCATCTGGGCTTGTGTGCCTGCTGGGCTGTGAAGGATGTTGAGTCATCAAAATCAAATCCCATGGGCTCCTTTACCCTCCTCTGGCCTGTAGTCTGACAACACTCTCCGGTGCTCTGCAAGTTTCCTCTCATGTTATGTGCTGAAATCAGTTTTCTCATATGAAAAATGCCCTTCTGGATGAGCCTTCTGTTAAGGCCACCTGGTTCTGACATGCCAGTGCCCAAAGCTGAATTCTGAGACATGCCAATTCTTGTGTAAAGTAGCTGCTTTTTCTTGCCTGCTCCCTGGGGCTAGTGGTGGAGACAGACAGATGTGATTCAAATTTCAATGCCCTGGATATGAAAACATAATAAGTTGTGTCACATCTCTAAACTTCAATCTCTGTACTTTAAAATGTAGATAATGGATGTCCATATCTATCAGAATACTGAGAGGTATTAACTGACAGAATACATAAGAATATATTAAAAATAATCCTTGAGCACTGTGCCTCCAACAGCTATTTTTAATGATATTCATCATTTAACATAGGGGATATTTTATGGTACTTTATTTTGTTCATCCTAAATAACTGAAATAAATGTTGGTGTTACTGAAAATGATTCTTGATAACGTGTTACCTACACTGATATTTGAGATTTAGTGACAGCTTTATTTTGGGTTACATTTTATTTCATTCTCCTAATATCCATCAGTCATCTAGTATATTATTAGAGGAATATATTCTTAATATTATTTTCTAGACGCCAACGTTTATACAAAATAGGGTGAAATTACTCAATATTTTGAAGATTCATTATATGAAAACATTGGTAAATGGGAAAACAACATGGAAAGACTATTTTTACTAAAGTTTTTAATAAATGCTTATGGAAATGATTGTGTGGGTTAACATCCTTTTTAGTGTTCCACCCAGCAATAATGGTTAACTATTATGGGAAAAATAACCTGAACATCCCATCTATATAGGTGAAAAACTGAATTATCCTCTTTCTTAAATCACCTTAGGCCATGGAGGAATCAGAAGTATGCACAGTGCCTGGTGGTTTGGCCAAGGTGAAGAAACGATTTGAAAAGGATGGAATGACTTTGTCCTGTAATACATTTTCTGAGTACCAGTATCAACACCAGAACAGATCTGAGCAGGTAAAGCCATGGTGGGTAATGGGCAAATCATTCACAGTTGAATTGCTCTTGCCAATGTAAAAACTTTCTTCTTTAGTGGTAGAATTATTTTCATTACTCATTGTAAAATTGATATACAGAAAATCATCTTTAAGCAAATTGACATGTTGGTTTACTTATTTTGAACATTTTGCCAAGTAAGTCTTGCTGGTCTGTTCTCCTCTGTTGCCATGTTTCGGATATAATCGAAAGTTAAATAGCAAAAGTTAGTCAACAAGTAAATAGAAATGCTGAGAGCAACGCTTGTGCTGAGCCTCTGCTTCTGTGTTATAATTCATGGCAAACTATTTGTTGGTTGTTTGCATAGATGGAATAAGAAGCATTATTCAGCTGTTTATTGTGGGGAGTTTTGTTTTGTTTTCTTTAAAATCATCAAACATTGAGTAGCAGAACCCAGATGTTACATAAAACCACATAATATGACTTCTGTTTTATAAAATTTTTCCCATTTCATTGCTTCAGTATCATATATCACCAAATTTATTCATGAGCTATAATGGTTTTTAAATGTGAGAATCTAAGCAGTAAAACTCATACAGTGGAGGTTGGCACTCAGAAAAAGCACAGCTTCAGTCCTGTGTCCTCCATGAGGAAGGAAGTAACTGGGAATGAAATTTTGTAATAGGAAATAAAATGTGCTGCCTTTTTTTTTTTTCTTAATGAAGTAATGGGGTGTTATATGTGGCCAGGGAATAGGGAACAGTGCACATGGAATGATTAAAGTCTAATACTTGCAAAGTTGTTTTTTCTTCCAGTTTTATTTGAAGAGTGGAAATGCTCAGTATAGCAACCTCAGTATATTTATGGCTTTGTGTCTTTCTAATGTTGCCTGAGGGTACATAATGAGTAGAAAGTAAGACACACTGTACCTATGATTTCATACACAGCAGTCACAACATAGGAGATTAAATCAAATGCAGATGAGTATGTTTACTTGAAATTAGTAAAAAGATATAAAATAAAATTTTAATGGCTTAAGTAAAAATTTCTCACAGAAATAGCAAGGATGTGTTTATAAACACTTTACCATTCAGGAATATCATGTTATGAACTTTCAGGCTTGGAGGTTCATAAATCAGAGTTCAGCCTCCTTCTCTGCCACTTACCTGCTGAATGATGTAGGCCCAGGGCCTCTGTAATGCTAAATTCTCCCCTGGGAGACCAGCACATGGGCTCTCTCACCTCCCAGGCCCATGCTGTCCTCATACTTGACCACAAAAAAAATAACACAAAGCATTCTAAGCTACAGTTTGGGGAATAAAGATATTTATTTGGGCTTGCCAACAAAATTTATGCTATACAGGAAGGGGTCACTTACAAACGCATGGATGCCCATGGGCCCTTTCCCCTACATCTCTGCTGAGCTTTTGAGATTTGCCACCGCCAGCACCCTACCAAGATGGCAACCACCCACTGCTTCCAGGCTTCCTCTCTGTCTGCCCTTAGTCCCTCCCCCTCGGGTAATTGAAGCTGACTGATTGGGTGGGAGGGGTGATTATCTCTAGTTCTCTTGGAGGACATGCCTATCCAACAGCCTCCTTCATGGGTATATGCTCTTTGCAGTGCCATAAGGTTTTCCTAACATGCGTAGAGGGGCCTGTGCTTAGTTTAACACATTATTGTCTCCATCCCAAAATTCTTGATAACACTTGAGCAAATTGTGACACATTTTCATTTTGTCTGAATGTCTGTATGATTGTGGAATTATAGCTATATTTAGTAACATACATCAAATCTGTAATCCACTCAAGCCTCACCTTCAAATGAATAGTAGAGGAAAACTGGATTGCCAGTATCATAAGGTCTAATATGTGTCTAATATGGCAAAGAGTAAATTAGGAGAAAGTATCTCCTTTTCTGTCAAGCTTAGCATCAGTCAAGATTCCAGGGTTGCATAGGAACATTGCAAGTTCACAAAATGCAGTCATGTAGAAGACAAGTTTGATTTAAGTTTGGAGAATTGTGCAAACCAGATGACATGATGTTAGTAGATGAAAATCAACCATAGTAAGGGTGCTTATATCAGGAGAGTCGGCAAATATGGCCTTTTTCTAGTAATCAGAGACAGATGTTAGAGTCAGAGCACTTGGATGCAAGTTCTTAATCTTTTAGTTATCTGTGCAACACTAAACAATGTCTTTAACTTCTATATGCCTTGATTTTTTCCTTTATAAAGTCAAGATTATAGTAATATCCAGCTGGCGTTTTTATTTTTTGAAGCAAATTAGATTCCATAGTGACTAAAATAATGTCTAGGAGCTGGGGAGATGGCTCAGTGGATAAGAGCACATACCTCTCTTTCAGAGGACCAAAATTCAGTTCAGAGAACCCAGGTAAAGCATCTTACAACTGCCATTGTCACTGCCCTCATATGCACAAACAAACACACCACACACACACACACACACGCACACACACACGCACACACACACACACACACACACACACCCCACAATCAAACATTAAAAAAAAAATCTTTAAAAACAGACAAAATCTAGACCACCTAAGTACTACACGAAAGTTTTGGTGGTGGTGTTTTTTTCTTGTTTGTTTTTTGACAGGGTCTCCCTAGCCTCAGTCTGCATGGAAATCATGATGTGAGTCAGCTGGCCTTGAACCCACAGAGATCCACCTGCCTCTGCCTCTGGAAGGCTGGGATTAAAGGCAAGTGCCACCATGCTCGGCTGTTGTTATTGTTTTTAACTATCCCCTTTAATCACATTTCTTCTTCCTCCCCCAGTCTCATTCCCTCTGGGGAATGATCGTGTTCTCACTCGGCATGACTAAGAACCCTTCTCCCAAGAGAAAGAAAGAAAAAGAAAAAACCCCAGTCATTTTACATTGTCCTGATTTTGAATGGAACATCCGTGTTCATACTTGAACAGACTTCTTGGCCATAGGATGTGGAAAAGAGAAAAAATAAACCCAAATCACTTTACGTTGTCCTGATTTTGAATGGTGCACCCATGTTCAGACTTGAACAGACTTCTTGGCCATAGGATGCGGAGTGACTTAGGCCCCTGCACCTTGTCTACCTACATGGAAGTTCTTTGTGAAACACCAAAGTAAATGGAAGGACTAAAAACCACATACTGATATCAGCTTTCTCTAGAACTGTAGTGATCACTCGAGACTGCAATTTCATTATCTGTCTTTAGATACAGCAGTAACACCTGATGAGTCCCAAGAAAAGAATAAGTCTTAGCTATTACAATGCAATTTAGTTATAAAAGAAAGCCATACCTTATCGGTATAGCCAAACTAGTAGGAAACATTTGTTGAATGCCCACCGCATACAGATGTCTGTGAGAGATTTAAAGAAGTCATTTAACCTTAAAATAGAAAAGCTTCAATTTCCATCTTGATTGGGAATTTGAGATAAATTTCAAATTTGATTTTAGAGGGAAAAATGGAAAAATAAGTCTGAAATTTCACTTACACATTTTAAACAATCAAAATGCATTCTAAAAATTTCTTCTTTTATCAGTAGAAAGGGAGGACAACATGTTTGTCAATAGATAGGTAGTTAATTGTCTTTGCATAAAATATTGTCAACTCAGATTCATATAGTGTTGGCAATTATTTTGATTATTGAAAGTGATTGAGCTGTATCTTCCTGCTAAGCCTTCCTTTGGTCAAAAGTATTTATTTGGTGACATACAGTAACTAACGTTAATTTGGAAACCAAATTTAATTAGGGTTTAAAAAAGAACACTTGTGTTAGGTTTCTGACAATATTTAATGTCACAGTTAGTAATGATTTCATTAATTGTAATAAGTCCAATCTGCCCCTTTCCCTCCTAATTTATTAAAGTCAGATGTTCAAGGTAATTGGCTATTTGGTAACAGTCTGTCTCAGAGATCAGCAGTTGGAATAAACAAGGTTTGAGAGAAGAGCTGTCTCTGAGATTAAAGATCTCTTATGATTGCTTTATACCTACTGAAAATAGAAAAGAGAATCATTAGTTATTTTTTGTAACAAAATATCTAACATAGCAAACTTATGAAAGGAAATACTGTTTTGGTTAGTGGTTCCAGGGATTTTAGTCCATTGTAGTAGGGAAGTCAAGAGAGGTGGCTTGGTCTGTGGCAGGAGACTGCTGCTTCTCACATTGTGGTACATCATGAATCAGACAGCTCAGAATTGGAACCAAGTAGATATGACCATTAAAGACCCATACTCATATCATCATGACTACCAACAATCCTCTTCTGATAGGTAGGCCATATCCCATAGGTTCTATATTCTCCCCCAAACAGTGCCAGTAGTTGGAAAAGAAGTGTCCAAACATATGAGCCTGTGAATCACATTCACACCATAGCAGGGGGTATCAGACATAGGAACATTCATTTGTGCAAGAGATGTTAAATAAGACAGTGCCTCATTTTCGTTTGCTAGCCTAGTCCTGCTATATGGCTCTGTCTAACAGCAGCCTCACTGTTGGCCTGTGCATTAGCTATGTGAAAATAAGAGAAAGGAGTCACCCTGAGTCCCTGGGAGAAGACAGGTAAGTGGTAGGGCAAGTTCAGCTTCTTACAAGAATAGGGTGGAGGAAATGCTTGGTGGCACACTTCTGTGATCCTTGGACTGTAGAAGTTGAAGCAAAAGATCACAGGTTTGAGGTCAGCCTAGTTTTAAGGCAAGTTGCCAGCTATATAATGAGATACTATTTCAAAACACAAAGAAACAAACAAGAATACAGTGGAGAATCTTGATTCGGTTGCCCTCCAATTAGTGCTAATTTTAAACAGAACTCAAGTAGATTATGATTTTCAGAACAACCATTATTGCTTCCTATAGGAAGGATTAGCATCCAACCCTCTCAATGGGATCTGAGAAGCTCCACATGTCTCCTGTTGATATTTATTTCAAAAATATCCTATCAGCCTTTTAAAATTTTTATTTTAGGGCTGGGTGTGGTAGCACACACCTTTAATCCCAGGATTCCAGAGGCAGAGGC